GGCCTGAGCTCAGCGGAGGGAGCCGGGGTGAGGGTCTGTTGGGCAGAACGCGTGGCTGGGCTGCCAGGGCAGTGCTGACGGGCACTGCCATCCGCCCCTGGAGCCCCAGAAAGAGGGAGGGGCGGGGGCGGGGCAGGATCCGGGAGGCACGAGCTCCTGGAGCTGCTGGGGGTTGTGCTGACCCCCACTCGGCACATGCTCTTAAACGGAGGCCCACCCTCCCGGGTCCGCAGCGCGCCCGCGGGCACAGTCTCCTTAGCCAGGCAGCCCTCTGGGCGGGGCACGTCGCAGGCCCATCTGCGCCGCACCCGGGCCACACGGGCCTGAAGCCCGCGTGTTGCGCAGCACGTAGCTTCCAGCCTGCTGCCTGGCGCCTCTCGCTGGGTCGGCGGCCCAAACCATGACCCAGAGCGCCTCAGAGGCTGGCGGCCTCGCCTGGGGTTGGGACGGGGACGCGGACGAAGACTGGGAGGGCGCCGCGCTGACCCTGCTGGCCCTGGCCGTGGTGGCCGCCACGGCGCTGGCTCTGCACTGGTTTGGCTCCGCGCAGGACCAGGAGGCGGCGGGACCGGCATCCACAGCCCCCTGGCCTTCGCAGGTGGGAGCAGCTGGGCCAGCCCTGCCCCGGAAGCACAAGGTCAGTGGCGCTGTTGAGGGTCACGGCTCAGGGCGGGGGAAGCCAGGCCCTCCAGGACGTGGCCAGGGGAGTCCAGCTGCAGCTAGCGCCCAGGATCAGGAGCCCCTGGGCGGCGGAGGTCTGGTTGCCGCAGCCTCCACTTCCCGTAAGACGCAGGCGGGGGAGGGGGCCGGTGGAGGGGCCTTGGGACCGCAGCGTGGTAACGCCACTCTGGAAACCCTCCGACGTAAAGGGCAGGAGGCTCGCAGGTCCGGCTCTGCTCTCCTGGGTGGGGGCAAAGCTGAAGGGTCATCTGCACCCCTCCTGATACACTTCACCCCCCGGGGTCCGGGCAGAGAAGTGAAGGTGCAGGGAGAGGCAGGGGGTGTCCGAGGCAAGGCCCCCGTCCACAGGGTGGTACGGGACAGCCGCCCCTGGCAACAAGGGCCGGGGTCACCTGCCTCGAGGGGGCAGAGCCCGGGCAGCCAGTGGGGGCAGGTGGACTCAGGACAGAGTGGCTGCCGCCGGCCAAAGCTGGACGCCCTGTCTCTGGGCTCTGTGGTGAGCGTGTGGGATGCTGTGGGTGCAGCCAGCAGCCTGCCCGCAGGCTCCGAGGGGCTCCTGTTCCCCCAGGAGCTGATCCCATTGTGCAGCCTGCAGACTAGGCCCTTGATGGGTGTCTCAGAGAGGGGGCTTGTGAAAAGCAGCCCCCAAGCTGCCCAAGGCCTAGCTCTGGACTCTGGAGCCACAGCCGGTGAGAACGAGGAGGCTGCGACCCTGGCCCCCAGGGAGTCTCAGGGGTCCCCAGCCTCCATGGAAGGCTGGCCCTGGGTGAGGAGGGAGGTCCTGGTCACCGGGAGCTTCAGCCAGGCCCCGGGCCCTGTGAGCCTATCACCAGAGGGGCCACAGGGGGGACACCCCCCCTTGTCCCTAGTGAAGGGGACCACAGAGGCCTGCACTGTGGGACAGGCTGGGGCTAATGGCTCTGGAGATCACGCTGTCTCCAGTTCAGGGCCTGGAGGGACAAAGGAGCAAGGGGGCCATGGCATTAGAGAAGGGAGAGGGTCCCTGCGAGGCCAGGCGCCCTGTGGTTCTGCAGACATTTGTAGCTGCATCTCCTCCCTGAGCCCCTCGGCCATGACCCTGCCGTGCACCCCTAAACCCCTCCCACCCCCGGGGTCCACACCCGCAGCACACGCCCACCCCAGTCTCGTACCTGGAGCCCCGGTTCCTCCGATCTCCTCTGCTTTAGACTCCTTGCCCCTTGGAGTGAGCCAGAGTCCTGCTGCGGGGTCCTCCTCCCCAGCGCCGACCCCTGCCCCCCTGACAGGTGCCCCTCCTGCAGCACCATCTGCTGCCCCCGCCGCAGCCTCAACCCCCGCGCCTGCTAGTGGATCAAGGCTTGCATCTCAGGAGCCCAGTGTGGTTCTCTGCAAGGACCATCAGCAGGGGCAGCTCTCAACCAGCTGGGGAAGCCTTATTTCGATGGTTCTCAGGAGTCACCCCTTCCCCAGGCCAGAGAGGCCCCAAGGGAGAGCCCTGAGGGCCACTCTGGAGGGCCCCAGCCATCCGGGCGCGTCCTCACCCTCTGAGAACAGAAAGTCGGCTGCTCCCCCAGAGGAGGACAGGCATGGTGCAGAGGGGCTGGCCACAAGGGCGGGTCCAGGGGGCCTGGAGGAAGCTGGAGCCCTGCCACAGCAGAGTCGTGCTGAGACCGAGGGGGCTGCCACGGCAGGCCCTCCCTTAGGCCCGAGATGGGAGAGAACCGAGGAGAAACATCCGGACTCGCTGCTGCGGGGAGCCGCAGAGCCCACGGCCCCCTCACCACCCCCTGAGCAGACCCAGCCTGGCTCTTCACCCTCCCCGGCTACAGGGCGGGAACCCCAGCCAGTCCCGCGGCCCCGGAAACGCAGCTTGTGTGAAATGTCCCAGAGCCCCAAGCAGGAGGCCGGCGGGTCGGCCCCAGGGCAGCATCAAGGACAGGCGCCGGAGACGGCATCCCGCCCTTCAGGCCGCCGGCAGGGCCTCGCGGAGAAGCAGGAGGAGGCCCGGAAACTCACGGTGTTTCTGCAGAGGCCGGGAGGCTGGCGGGTGGCTGAGGGGCCCCGAAAGTCCAGGGCCTCCGTGGTGGCTCTGCCGCGATGGCTGGACCTGGGCAGTTGCCTGGAGGCACTGGCCTTTGCCCAGCAGCACGAGGACCCTGGCTTGGCCCAGGAGACCTATGCCTGGATGAGCGACAATCTGCTTCACGTGCTGAGAGACCCGAGCCTCTACCGGCAGCTGAGTGGGGCTGACCGGGAGCGCATTGTGAGCCTGCGCACCCGCCGCGGCCCCGCGGTGCTGGGGGCCCTGGTGCTGCCCGGCCTCTACGGGGCAAGCCGCTCTGGGCTCACACGGGACTCCCCTGCGGCGGAGGCTCTCGCCGTGGGACCCGCGGCCCCGCCTCCCCCCGCATACCTGCACGTATTCCACCCCGGAGAGAACGCCTGGAGGCCCCTGACTGAGGTGCCCCAGGAGGCCCCGCTGCGAGGCTGCGGCCTCTGCACTCTGCACAACTACCTGTTCCTGGCGGGGGGCATTCGTGGGTCTGGCGCCGAGGCTGTCTGCTCCAACGAGGTGTTCTGCTACAACCCTCTGACCAACATCTGGAGCCAGGTGCGGCCCATGCAGCAGGCGCGCGCCCAGCTCAAACTAGTAGCGCTGGACGGGCTGCTCTACGCCATCGGGGGCGAGTGTCTGTACAGCATGGAGTGCTACGACCCACGCACTGACGCCTGGACCTCCCGCGCACCCCTCCCTGCGGGCACCTTCCCCGTGGCTCACGAAGCTGTGGCCTGCCAGGGGGACATCTATGTCACTGGGGGCCATCTCTTCTACCGCCTGCTCCGGTACAGTCCCATGAAGGACGCGTGGGACGAGTGCCCCTACAGTGCCAGCCATCGGCGGTCCAGTGACATGGTGGCTCTGGGGGGCTTCCTGTACCGCTTTGACCTCCTGCGGGGCGTGGGGGCCGCGGTGATGCGCTACAACACTGTGACGAGCTCCTGGAGCCGGGCTGCCTCCTTGCCCCTGCCTGACCCCGCCCCGCTGCGCTGCGCTGTGCTGGGCAACACGATCTACTGCCTCAACCACCAGGTCACAGCCACCTTCACCGTCTCTGAGGGGACCGCCCAGTTCCAGACCAAGGAGCTCCAACCTTTCCCCCCGGGGACCAAAGGGGTCCTCTGCCCATTCACCCTGACTCTGCCTGCGGTGGGCCCACTGCAGACTGCCCTCTGACTGGCTGCTCTCCAGGGAGGCCCTGGGGCAGGTCTGACAGGCGGGAGGTGCCCTGGGAGGAGGCTGCGATGCAGAACGTCTGCTGCTGTTCCTGGGATGACTTTCCTTCTCTGTTCTAGTAAGCCTCCTGACTCCCCCTTCCAGCCCCCCTTCCTCTGTGCCTTCTCCACCTCAGAGGCCTGGCCCCCAGCACCTGGGACCTGGTTGCTGGCATCTTACCTCCCACGGGACCCAAGCTGCTTCCAGTTTAACCCTTCCCTGGCTGCCCAGGGCCTCAGCCCGCTAACCCATCCGTCCTCCAGGCAGAGCCCCTCTCACAGTAACACCCACTGCCTGACCTGACCTGGGGGCTCCAGGCCAGGCAAGGAGCACTCAAGGGGGTGAGAAGGGAGACCAGAGGAGTCCCTAGGAAAGCACCCTTTTCTCTGGGACTTTCTGCCTGGCCCAAGGCCTCCGGAGTCTGGCTGGTTCTATCTTGGAACAGCTCTGAAGCCCTCTTTGGTCTAATTGACCTCAAGGGCTGAGAACCCCTGTCTGTGAGTGTCCTGCTGGCTGTAACCCCTGCCCAGACCCTCGCCCAGGCCAGCCAGGACCACTCAGCTCTACCCCTCTGCAGCTTGGTGCTGTCTCTCCCTCTGGTTCGGCCCCTGCAGGAGCCTGCCCCACTTTCCACCAGCCCCTCATTAGCTGTGTGGATTGGATGAGACATCTACCATGGCTTTTCTTGTCTGAAATGGGGTTGTGAGAACATTAAGGGCACACCCGAGTGCCCAGCATAGTGCCCCAGACACACAACCGGATAACTGACGTTCTCCCCGTCCGCTTTGGAACTCACTGTGAAAGGTAAATAAACGCGCCCGAATACTGGCCACATCCCACCTGTCTGGCTCCTTTTCTGGCTCACCCTCACTTCAGCACCCTTGGCACCGAGCACTTCTGCTTCATCAGAGCATCTGCGTCTCGCCTGGCTCGGGTGCTGTTCACAGGGCTTGAATGCAGCTGGGTGAGACAGAAAGGTTCCTGAGGTGCTTGAAAATAAGTTTATTGAGAAACAAGTTCTGTGCCCAGGCCATGAGTTGGGGTCACTGCCGCTCTGCCCCGGGGCCTACTGCGTGTGTTTGGTCTCATTGAGCAGCTCCTGCCAGTTCTTCTCCATCTCCTCCTTGCAGTTGAGGAAGGCGTCCTCCAGCCGCCGCATGGACTCCGCCAGCGTGGGGTTGGTGCGCATCACCACCATGTCGTAGGCCATCCACGTGGCCTGCACTGCAACAACCAGATAGGCCCTGGTCAGGCCACAGGGGCGGCTGCAGCGCTGGGCCCCCCATGAGGGCGGGTGCCTCTGCTCACGCCCGGCACCCTGGGACAGGATGCGCTGCGCCACCCAATTACTCTAAGGAGAGAAAGCGGGTCGGCCATGTGTTAGAGGGCTCATAACAACCCCGATTAAATCTCCTGTCTACACAGAGCAGGAAGGAACCTTCCCTAATCTCACCAAGTCTTAACTTCAGAATACACCAGCCCACAACACTAAAAGGTTGGATGCCAGTATGACATGAAATGTTAGGAAAGATTAAATACAGGTCCTTACCCATCTGCAGTTCACAGCTAGTGGTTGCAAGGTGACTCCCAAGAAGTGCTCCTCCACCCAAGCTCACATGCTCAGGAAGGGCTGACCACTCCCATTCCTGCGAGGCCTGAACCTCAGGTTTTCTCATGCTCACAGGCCTGGGATGCCTGCCCACCTCCACCAGAGCACCCCTCTGCTTTCATTAAGGCCAGCCCAGGGGCTCCTCCTTCCGGGAAGGTTTGCTTGTTCATGGTAGGTATCCTCTGGTGCTCACCACTGGACTGACCAACTTTCTTTCCCTCTGAGAGCAATTTGAGGGCAGTGCCTCTGGCCTACAGGTGAACCTGCGCTGTCTGTACGAATCCAGTGCTGTGTGCAGAAACCCCACCTCACCCCTTCCCTCTGAGCACAGCCCTCCACTTGTGTGGTTCTCCCCTTTAGATCTATGAATAAGAGGGTCATCTCTGTGTGCAGCAAACACATTCCCTTAGAACTTCTACTGGCTGGGCTAAAAATTTCTGGATATTTTGGGAAACTATATCCTTCAGGAAGTTAACCAAAGGAGAGACAGGCAGGGAATTCCCTGGCAGTTCAGTGGTTAGGATTCTGTACTTTCACTACTGAGGGTATAAGTTCAACCCCTGGTCAGGGAACTATGATCCTGCAAGCCGTGTGGTGCTGCCAAAAGAAAAAAAAAAAAGGATAGGCAGATGATTAATGACAAATGCGCATGTATGTCTACACACAACAGAGGTCAGCAGTGTGACAGACTTGAAGTTTTACAGAAAGTGGCATCTGGGCGGTTAGGGAAACAGTGTTAGAGAAGATGCATGCAATGCACCTCAACAGACAGAGGGCATGTGACTATCTGGCAGCACAGACACCCTCCAACTTCTGGCAGCAAGAGTCACTTGGGACACCTGTTAAATGTAGACAGTTGGGCCCTCTCAAAGCTCAAAGAGCTTCTTATGTAGTGGGCTGGGAATGGTGCCCAGGAACCTGCATCTTAACAAGCATCCTGGGTAATTCTGTGCAGGAAGCTCGCAGACCATCATGTCAGCCACCTGGACAGCAGGTGGAGTATGGACCTGAGGCCAAGGCTCTCTACTCACTGGCCGTGTGACCTGGAGTCAGAGATTTAAACTACTAACCTCGTCTCCTCACATGTCAAGGCCGGACAACGTCCGGATCTCACGGCTTGCTGTGAAGATTAAATGGATGATGTATGTAAACCGTTGCACACATATTAAGTGCTCAAGAAAAGAGAAACTCTTACTATAAAATAAATAACTAAGGTATTCAGGACAGAGAACTAGGGTGGGTAAAACAAAACGAAATAAAAAAAATAGCTCACAGAAAAGAATCTCATATAGACCTACACAGCAGCTGAAATTATAGCCCTGAGTTTCCCGAGGCCAAAGCAGGGAAGGAAACATGCTCAGTTACAAGATTTAGTGATGGGACTTCTTTGGTGGTGCAGTGGGTAAGAGTCCGCCTGCCAATGCAGGGTTCGAGCTCTGCTCTGGGAAGATTCCACATGTCTTGGGACAACTAAGTTTGTGCGCCACAACCACTGACCCTGCACTCCGCAGTTACTGAGCCCATGTGCTGCAATGCTGAAGCCTGCGCACCCGGCCTGTACTCTGCAACAAGAGAAGCCACCACAGTGAAAAGTTTGAGCACTGCAACAAGAATAGCCGCTGCTTGCCACAGCTAGAGAAAGCCAAAGCAAAGCAATGAAGATCCAGTACAGCCAAAAATAAATAAAAATTTTAAAAAATAGAATGCTGAAAATTATTTTTTAAAAAGATTCAGTGAGCATAAAATAAAAACAAACCCATTGTTTACGACACTTTTATCCTAAGAAAGAATTTTCCTATAGGTGTATTTCATGAGAGGTATGTAATATAGTTGAAAATGTCCTTGACAACATCCCTACTTTAAATACAAAGAGGGACTTTCCCAGTGGTCCAGAGGCTAAGACTCCACGCTCCCAATGTAGGCAGCCCAGGTTTGATCCTTGATCAAGGGACTAGATCCCACATGTCATGCCAAAACTAAAGAAAGATCCTGCATGCTGAAACGAAGACCCAGCATAGCCAAATAAATAAATACATAAAATATTTTAAAAAATACAAAGATATTCTCCTGTGTCTACAATTGTAATCACTGGTAAAAGAAAGCTGGTGGCACAGTACCAAAGCACACTTCAGAAAAGGCAATTCAGTGAGACACTAAGACACTGTATCAAGTGCATAGCTCTCTGTAATTTGATCCAAGGGAAAAATAGTATAGAATAGGAAAGACTCACAATTATCCAAAAATCCTTCAGAAATATGTGTCTCCTGAGTTTTTCATTCATTCAGTATTTACTGAGCGCCTGCTCTGTGTTGGCATTTTACTAAGGCAGCCCTGATGATACAGCAGTCTATACAGGATGGACACATCCCTGCCCTCATGAGCATCCATACTAGTTGCAGTGGGAGAAGACAGATAATAAAAATACAAGACAATTACACATTGTGAAAGGAATTATGAAGGAAACAAACAGCATGTATTGTGACAGAGAAATGAGATAGGAAAAGCCTTATTTTAGACCAGGTAGTGAAGACAGGCCCTTTCAGAGGGCTTTTGGTAAGGCCAGCAGAATAGCAAAGCCAAGGTCCTATCTCTGGTTCCGTTCAGTTCAGTCACTCAGTCCTGTATGACTCTTTGCAACTGCATGGACTGCCGCACACCAGGCTTCCCTGTCCATCACCAGCTCCCAGAGCCTGCTCAAACTCATGTCCATCGAGTCAGTGATGCCATCCAGCCATCTCATCCTCTGTTGTCCCCTTCTCCTCCTGCCTTCAATCTTTTCCCAGAATCAGGGTCTTTTTCAATGAGTCTGTTCTTCGCATCAGGTGGTCAAAGTATTGAAGCTTCAGCCTCAGCATCAGTCCTTCCAATGAATATTTGGGACTGATTTTTTTTTTGGGGGGGTATTGACTGGTTTGATCTCCTTGCAGTCCAAGGGACTCTCAAGAGTCTTCTCCAACACCACAGTTCAAAAGCATCAATTCTTTGATGCTCAGCTTTCTTTGTGGTCCAACTCTCACATCCATACATGACTACTGGAAAAAAAATAGCTTTGACTAGAATGGACCTTTGTTGGCAAAGTAATGTCTCTGCTTTTTAACATGCTGTCTAGGTTGGTCATAGATTTTCTTCCAGGGAGCAAGCATCTTTTAATTTCATGGCTGCAGTCACCATCTGCACTGATTTTGGAGCCCAAGAAAAGAAAGTCTGTCACTGTTTCCACTGTTTTACCTTCTATTTGCCATGAAGTGGCAAATGCGACTGGATGCTATGATTTTAGTTATTTGCATGCTGAGTTTTAAGCCAGCTTTTTCACTCTCCTCCTCTTTCACTTTCATCAAGAGGCTCTTCAGTTCCTCTTTGTTTTCTGCCATAAGGGTGGTGTTATCTGCATATCTGAGGTTATTGATATTTCTCCCAGCAATCTTGATTCCAGCTTGTGCTTCATCCACCCCAGCATGATGTACTCTGCATAGAAGTTAAATAAGAAGGATGACAATATGCAGCCTTGTTGTACTCCTTTCCCAATTTGGAACCAGTCTGTTGTTCCATGTCCAGTTCTAACTGTTGCTTCTTTTTTTTTTTTTTTTTTTTTTGTATGCCACTAAAAATCTTTAATCACAGAACTGGGCACTAGAAGTAACATAATGAGATAAGAAAATGAACAATTCTAAGAAATCAAACACATGGCTTTCAAACACAAGTCAACTTAATTCAGTCTAGGAAGACACAATAATTGTTAAGTCCCCACCATGGACTGAGGCCCCATCTCCAAGCAACAACATGAATTTTTTTTTTTAATTTACAAAATTAAAAAAAATTCTTCAAATACATTTTGTTTTGGTTCTTTTGCATTTCATTCCTCAGCCCCAAATCCAAAGCCCAACTTGTGGTAGGGAATTAAATAGGACCAGTATAAGCAAGCCAATTTAAGGAGACCTTAGAGGGTGAAATATTATAATTGGAAACAAGCCTGCCATGGTTGGAATTGTTACTGTCAGCTTGGAGGAAAACTCTCCTTAGGTAAATGTGGAATGCTGTCAGCTGCTATCCTCAAAGCTGCCACTATTCCGGCAAGAATGAAAATGCATCGGGCTCATGGGATCAGACACGTAGCCATATTTGTCAATGGTTGAGAACTGAAGACTTTTCTTCATGTCATCCAAAGACAGGCCTTGAGTGGAACATTGTCCAGAACTTAGGTTCTGTCTTATTTACTGTTTGACTTAGCTCGGATGTCCTTGTCGCAGCCAGCTTTTAATGATTTCCATCAGTGTTCAGTCTCCAGTCCTCACCTGTTTTCTCTGCCCGCCTCAAACCTTGATCCCCTTAGTTTGGCTACATCGGATGTCAGTCACCTGCCCGACCTCTGTTGCGTTTGACTTCAATTACCTGCAATCTCTTCTTGACTCCTGCCCTAATTAGGCCTTCACTTGTAGGATGGGTTGCCAACAGCAACCATCAAAGAGAAACCAGTAAAACTTCAGCTAAAACACATCCACTCCCAGTGTCCTTGAGACATGTGTGCAGGCACGCTCAGTCACTCAGACTTTGCGACCTCATGGACTGTAGCCCACCAGGCTCCTCTGTCCATGGGATTTCCCAGGCAAGACTACTG